AAAAAATTAACAATATAGAGCGGTAAACAAGAGATCGACAGCTAAGTAGTTTACATGGGCAGTTTAACTACTATAAAGCATCAATCCAGGTCCATACTTGGATGGCCTCACACACTTTTCCGATATTACACAAATAAATTGGCTGTATACACTCGAAAAAACCTTACGACCAATTTTGCTAAACATTGATAAAATATTATGGATATATTCCAACGAACACAACAACGTTTGACCACCCTCTCTCTCTGCTTACCCTCCCCCCCCCCCCCCCCAAAAAAAAAAAAAAAAAGTGAGTAAAAATACATATCTGGACATTTTTCCTTAACTCTTGAAAGGTACAGATGATGTATCTCAGTGTACAGTATATAGCGCAATGTCTTATATGGGTGTTTGTAAACTATGAGTATATGCACGTGCTTGTGTAAAACGTTTTACGCTATACATAGATAATACTATAAAGTGTTTGTATACTGTTCTGTTATTCCAGGGTTAAAGTATTTTGCTGATTCATATGTGTTGTTTACTTCGCGTGCCCATGTAAACAATGTTTTTATGTTTTGCAAACAAGTTCTTATGTTTTTAGATTTTATGTTTTTATGTGTCCCTAGTGTTCCTACAAGTGCATGTACCGCAATGTAAACAATGTTTTTATGTGTTGCAAACATGTTCTTAATTTTTTTTATGTTTTATGTTTTTATATGTCCCTACTGTTCCTACAATGTACCGCAATGTAAACAATTTTTTAGCAAGGTAATGATGACCCTACATACTTCAGTGTTACCATATTAATAAAAACTTTGTGCCCGTGTAAACCAAGTCCAAATACCTGTCTGTGATGTGCGTTTACATTTCAATGTCATACATGTGGGTTTGTTTGTACAATGTGCCTACTGGCACATACGACAGTGTCATGACATTTGTTTGTGATGTGCATAATGGATTGCAATGTCATCATATTAGTCTGAAGATGTGTCTATGTAGTGCATGATCTTAATATTTGTAACTGATGTGCTTATGTTTTGTTATGTTATATTATCTGTTTGTAAGATGTACGTATACATGTTTTGCAGTGTTATAATATATTTTTGTATTATGCCTTTGCATTGGAATGTTATTAAGTACTTTTTGAAATGTGTGTACATGGGAACGTACAAGTGTGTGTGCGTGCGTGCGTGCGTGCCCGCTCGCGCGCGCGCGCGCGTGTGTGATAGTAGTATTTCAGTTTAGTGCTGTCGTATTATTTATTTCGTAAATCTAATAAAACGTTTTGAAAAATTAAGGCACTTGAAAACTAATTTGTTGAATTCTTGTTAAACGGAGTTAAGCCTCCTGTAGCTTAATACGTTTGAACCTGACACACTTGACCGGATCATTTAAGTCTACCGCTCGCTGTGAAAAGGTCATGTGTACCGGAGGGTGTTATTCCCCTTGTACTCTTGGGAGCCTCGCACCTGTTGCGTGCATGCATGTCTCAGCTTAGAGGGGGGAGGGGGGGTGGGGGGGGGAGTAAGCGTGATATACATGTACAGGTGTTATATCGATGTGATGTTTACCATAGTTATCACACTTTTGATAGTTTTTTATCTCATTCAGTTGAAGACGCATGCTTGTACTTCAGAAAGTGATAAAACAAAGAAAAACCATCGTTTTATAGTGTTGTTAAGTTAATTGCTTACACTTTCATTAATTGCTGGTGATTATTTAAGAAGAATCAAATGATTAAAATGATAAGGAGTTATTGAGTGTAAATTAAATTTCATTAAGAGTCAACAAGTGTAAAAATTGTTTTCGTGGTAGAAAAGATGTCAAAGTCACATATAGATTGATTTGATTGATTAATTTCTCAATCGATTTGCAAGTTTCTGCCACGTATTAAACACAAACAAACCAAACATGGATATGGTCCAAGCATGAGTAATTCAAATAATACTTTAAATACTTTTAATTGAAAACAAGTCTCTTAGAAATTACCTAATAAGGAAATGCTGAATGGAGGAATGCGACATGGGAATGAAAAATTCCTTGTAATCACGCAAAGACAATGGAAAGAAAACAAGTAAATGCATGATCAGTACGGAGAAATAAAGTATAAATACGTGCGAATTTGTATGAAAAGTCAGTTAGTGAATAAATGCTTGAAAGCTCTAGGTCGTCGTTATTGTCACCTATAGTACTATAAGATGAGTACAAATTCATCTTCGCAAAGTTGGCTTCGTACGGATGACAACTGCTCACGCGATTAGCACAGTTTTGCTGGGGAGGGATTAGAAACAATGTCACCATATTTTAGGGCCTACAAATGGAGGTTTTTCAGGGATTTATTTATTTATTTATTTATTTTTTCAAGTCGAGATTCCTTTTCGGACAATGGGTAAGAGTAAAGAGGTAATTAATTTTGCTAAAAAAAAGAGCGCATTCCTTGAAGACACAATAAGCGCATTTTTTATTACTTAAATCCTCGTATATTTGTCAAGTTTGTACCTTAGGTGAACCTCAAAATTCTTTTAATATTCGAGTCAAGTGATTTTCAGTAAGTTTTACCAACATGATGCTGATGGCCCAAATTATGTGTATTATGTTTGTAATTGACAGCCACAAGTGCATGAGGAACGATGAGTGTTTTGTAGAGTAACTGAGTTGATTGACATGCTCTTATGATATTTATGCAACAGCGGGTAATGTAAACAGAGATAAGGCCCGCTATATATTGAATGATGTAGAAATAGAAATGAAAAGAGAGCGGCGCGGGAACCAACTAGGAAGTAGTTAATAAATTATATGAAGGATTATAACAGAGTTTTATTTACTACCTCGCAGAACAGCAAAAGTTAAAGATAAAGACTTCGTCATGTGCATACTAATGACTGATGTGTCCGTTACAAGGTTTCAGTGGCCATTAATGTTAAAGCAATCATCAATGACCAATCTGCATGCTCACAAAGTTTTTTATTTGAAATATAGTCACAGAAGAAGGCTAGGTCAGGCTGTATATTTTTATTGTTAAAATTCTATTAAAACCTTTATCAGAGAAATATTCTCTTGGATTTGTGTTTGATAATGTAAAGGAGCGATCACAATATATTCAAATATAACAGACATCGGGAAAAGGGAATCCCCCATCGGGCGCTCTGTTTAAGCTGATACAGTGCAGGCATCAAACGTTACCTAATATAGTAAGGTAACAACAGAGATAATTGATATGTAGTGTGACACGAAGACACAGTTGAGACAACGTCGAACTTCAGGTCGCGTATAGGGGGTTCCAGAAAAATAGCTATCTTCTTAACTGATATACCAACAAGTTGTATGGCAATAAAACGCTTATTTCAGCAGCTATTCATTTCGTATCATCATTTTTTAGTAATGGTTAATATGGTTTCTTAGCCTAATTTTATGCCTGAGAAACTAACAGTCTGCCACACGTACCCACGTGTACACAGCATTGTTCGTTAGCCCCCTTTGCCATCGACAGAGGTGTCTTAAGTTCTTGATATGAATTTCATTAATAAAGATATCTAAATCAATAAATTTATCACTTCAAATATATCTTCTACCATGACTGAAACACTCGTACTTTGGAAACGGAGCTGCTATTATGAAATCCCAGGAACATGCTGTAAAACGAATAAATGCAATCTTCGATGAGTTAAAGGCTCTAATTAGTTTTAATGTTGGTCTAAATCTTTCTCTGAGAAAACCTGTTAAGCTTTATATCTCCTTAGGTAACCATCACGTAGTAAAATAATAACATTAAATGAATAGCTGTTGAAATAAGCCTTTTTATTGATATGAAACATATTGGTTTTTATCTTGATCGGTTAAGAAGATATCCATGTTCCCTGCACCCCCTGTACGCATCCTTAATTCTGAACAAGTAGCACTAAAGATCATTGCGTTTAAGAGGATCATCAATATTGTGCAACGTGCGAGTGCTTTAGGTATTTATTTTTTTCTGAAGCTGTTTACCTTACAAAACATAAGGAAGTTTTGAATCGGTTTGTGATCGCATAGCTGCAAGTGCCGCAGGTCAAGTTGTTCAAAAAGCTGTTCTTTCACGGCCCTTTCGTTATTGGAGGTAATTTGACTCGTGTACAATGGTAAGGTGACACGAAGACATAGCGACCCAGTCTTAAGGTTTACTCTTGGAGATAACGACGAACTTATTTCTGTACAAGTAACACTATAGATCACCGCGTTGAAAAGGATAACCAATATTGTATTATTTGTCAGCACTTTAGGGTTTTTTATTTCTAAAGGTATTCACCTTACAAAGCATGCGGAAGTTTTGAGTAGGTTTGAGTTCGCATAGTTGCGACTGACGCAGATCAAATTCTTCGTAAACGTGTTCTTAAACGGCCTTTTCCTTCGTGGAGGTAATTTAGCTCTTGGCATAATGGTAACGGAGAGGCGGTTTATAGGAACGGTTCACCCCTACCAGAGCGGACAAACTGGACATTCTGCTCTGAAAAGAGGCCTGGCAGCTAAAGCCTCCAGGATCAAAAATGAAGTATGGGACCCTAAAACCCGAAAATTTCTTGGAAAGACGCCATCACATTGGGGTAAGGACACAGTATATTTTTTCATCGCGTTAAAAAAAGGGAAGTAGAAAATAATTTCAAATGTACATTTTCTTTGTCCTGTACGTATGCTTGTTAAAATGTATACTAAAAGTAATACTATGATAGCACAGATGTCAGGGTGAGATTATATTTTGTGTTATGTTAAACATTTGAAATATGTATATGATATACTGCTGCTGCCTTTTGATGGGCGTAAAAGGAAGGCTTATATCAGGCACAAATATGTATCTTACCAATCTGAGTGAATTTATGAAGGCACACTCTTCTGGTAGAATGTTATGCTCTCTCTGGAACATTTTCTCTTGGATATTTCCCTCTGGATTCTCGCTCTAAAATGGAACCTCCGATATCTACCTTATGTTGAGCGTGAAAAAATATGTATATTAAATAAAAATAAATAAAAAAAATATCCAATAATTTGCTCTACGGCTTTAAATAAAAGGTTTGACTTGACCAGTGGTCAGAATTGAGACATGCATGAGGCAAGCAGGATTGCACTACTTAACAACCAGGCGAGCCTGCTCATACGCGCTCGGAGCAGGGGGGGGGGGGGGTAATTGCCCCAACAAATCTTTAAAAGATATATATTATTTTTTATCCGTATAGAATATTATTCTTGCCCTCCTTTCGATCGTCTCATCAAAATTGTCTTATTTTTCCTTCTGCCAGCGTGTAGATGAGTTCCACAGGCAGTACATATAACATGACACCGTGTGTTTGTAGCACTTTCTCAAACATCATCTTCCGCCTGCAACTCTACCATAGGTTCCTGTGGAATTGCCCAAATGTCGATTTTTCAATTTGATATAGAACTATAAAGAACCAATATAGGGGCCGTGTGGTGCCCAGAAAAGAATCCAAACCAGCCAAACGGTTACCCATATTGGCCCCACTTGGGCGTGTTGGTCGGGTTATGACATCTGGCTGTCTGTTCACGCTCCCTCGTCATATCACAAGAAATGATCTGACCCTTCCACTTAAATGTAATCGCTAAGGTAAGCCATAAATACCTTTAAAATCATTAAAAATACTTTTAAATTTAGACATATGCCTGGCAAGAAGTGAAGTCATGTGATTGTTACCATGGTGATTTAAGCGCACCCATACATTAAAATTCTTCCACAAGGTATATGTCACGGTCAAAATGTAATATACACGTGGAATAGTACACTTTTTTTACTTTTTGAGTGGTGTGGGTGAGGGTGTCGGGGCTCTAGATCGGGATGGGGGATAATTGGAATGTGTTCTCTCTCTCTCTCTCTCTCTCTCTCTCTCTCTCTCTCAGGGGCGATTCAGAATAGATGATCCGAGTACTAACTGATCACAATTCGCCGACTAAATATGGCCGACCACACTTCAAAAGCAATGACACTGATTCCCGATGGTCTCCCCGCCTCCACAAGCGCCATTAAACGGAATTAATCTCGGTTCCGAGGTTTAATTTCTAGGCCCCTGCAGTGACGGCGCGTGTGGAGGCGAGGAGACGATCATGGGATTAGCGGGATCTCTTCTGAAATGGATTCGGCCATATTTAGTCGGCGGATCAGTTAGTACTCGGATCATCTATTCTGAATGGCCCCTCATTCCGTACTCCATCCTGCCAGCAGTGTGTGCGTTCTTCTGATAAGATTAATTTCCAGTTGGCGATTAAGACGCTGCGTGTTACGTCATTCTAACATATAAACTCGCACAAACCCTTCAACAACAACTTTTGAACCATCGTTCAGTTACCAGTGCGTGGAGGTTTATTGTTTATATCAATATTGGGCATTTCTAAACAATAACTGAACACTGCAAGTACTTATTTCATGGAATAAATTATCAGTATAAGTCCATAGGCATGCCACAACTACTCATGGACATGGAATAAACTATCTGTATAAGTTGTGGAAAATCGATCATTATTACGTATGAAATTGGTGTCTTCCAGCTCTTATCTAGCCTGAGATTACTCAACATGTTTTGCTGGCTTCCTCGCTAAATGTGACATCCAAAATGTCCCCATGATCTCGGTGTGATTTTGTTTGATCAATTCTTTTCCGTGCACTTCCTTAATTTAAACGTTAAAAAACTCGTTGATGTTGCATATGATGCGTGAAATGCTTTTCACCCCCTTTATATTCAAACGAATGAACACTACAGTGGTTTTGTTGTTCATGTTTTTCAATTTGATAAATCTGCCCATGTCGTGCCTTGTCATATTTTATGTATAATGTAGGTATTGTAGATTATTCAAAATATGAGTAGCAGACACAGTAATATACGCAACAAATACCATGATACAACGTAATCTTGAATGAGAGGGTAACTTAAGTATAAACATCTCACATAATAAAGGATAGGCATGAAAGATACGCTTGGACCAAATCCAGTGTATGTGTACACTGAATATAAACGCTCTATATACTTCATTCATATTTATCTAATCATCCAGAAGATAAATTCTCGCTTCTCATTAAGTTACCGACTATTTGTTTGTTTTCTTTATTTACTCAGGTGATTTAATATTAAGAACAGATAAAGTTATCACGTATTTGTGTGCATCGCATAAGTTGCTATAGGCCCCATTCACGAAAAAAGTTGATCCGCAGGCTAACAGAGTCGTGGATCAAATATGGCCGGCCCAATTGAAAGCTTACCTATTGGATTCCCCGCGGGGATAACGGGGCAAGCTTTCAAGTGGGTCGGCCATATTTGACCCAAGGATCAGTTAGGGTGCGGATCACTTTGGTTGTGAACAGATCGGTAAATTTTACCTAAGTGAGCAAGTCATGGCGTAAAAAGGGAGAGGACCCGATGCGGACCATCTTTTTTTCTTCAATGCAGTGATCTATAACACGCGTTACTGTCTCCGAAAAAGGTATTCATATAGGCTGCATTCAGAACCAAGGACTAACTAGTCTGAGAGTCAAAAATGGTGACCCACTACAAAGTTTGCCGTCTAATCCGCTAATAGATACTGAATAAATTATTCCCCGTGGGGAAGTATTCAAGTGGGTCCGCCATATTTGACCCTCGGACTAGTTAGTTCACTGTTCTGAATGAGGTCATAGACTAATTAAACGATAACTCTATTAGTAGTGGCACCCTTTAAATATGTTAAAAACACAGGATAATAATTATCCCTCCCCAAGATTTTATATGTTTTTGGCTTCACTTTCATTTGTCACCCTGAGTCTCAGAAAGCATGCAAAGTCATGGCGACTGCACATGGGGATAAGTAACCGCGGTTACCTACATATATGGCCGCATTCACATCAAAAGTTCATCCGAGGACTAGAAGATCTGCGGATCAAATATGGCCGACCCACTTGAAAGCTCACCGCTATTCAGTGTGTATTAGGGGATTATGCGACAAGTTTCTGAGTGGGTCGGCCATATTTTAGGTTTTGGTGAGGCGGTGAGCTGGGTGTGTCAGATGTGACTTTTTAGAAACATGTTGTGATATCACCGACTCGGTAAAGGCTAGTTCCAGAAAGCTTCCAGCCCGCAATTGCCACTTCACCAGTATATATATGCACAGTGTATGGTTGGTAATATTTCAAGTGCTTCTATACAGTGACTTTATTTTTATTTCATTCAGATTGAAAACACACAATTGTCAAAATGTCAAAAAAGTTTTTTTTTGCATCTTTACAGCGTTATGCGCAATCTTCTATACAGTGTTCTATACAAGTATACTTGTCTTCTTCGGGGCGTGCTTGGCAGTGACATTTGTCTATTATATAGACAAGAGGTCGCCCATGGTCTATGGCAATGCTGGAGCAATAGGAAATAATCCCGGTGAGTTGAAATTCTATAGAAATATTTTTAAATATTAAAATTAAAAGACTTTAGGCGATTCTGGTCCAAAACACAGCTGAAAAACGCACCGGGCGACTAACTTAATGAGGCACAATTGCGCTGTAAAGTGTCTGTGTGTGTGTGTGTGTGTGTGTGTGAGAGAGAGAGAGAGAGAGAGAGTCTGTATTCAGTCTTACGACAGCCGATTAAAATTTGTATTTGGAATCTGTTCTATTAGCTTTCGTATAAACACGTGAAAAGCACACATTTCCAATAGTGTGCGTTTAATGAAGCAATAAGTTGTTCACCGCAACGCCATTCTGTCAAGAGGTTACTATTGAAATAATCGGATGTGCATTGACAGTGAACTAATAAAGAATTTTTTTCAGGATTGAGTTTTCGCCCAATGCCTTGGGCCAAGTCAACAATGATCTACTTCGTTCAAGGAGATAAGCAGTCTTTTGCACCTATAATTGCCAACATCCGGGCACATTTGATACGTAAGTCAGTTAACTTAAGAATGGTTATTTTGTTCAACATGTCATTTTCTGGTGAATAGATTTAGAAACGTCTTATAAAGTTTCATAATCATTATTGTAGGAATAACAGTATGTATGAATTATGAATGGGGTAATAAAATGAAAAATAAATTTTACTGTGGACTTCCGTAAGGTAAAGAAATGCCATTTAAGATTTCTTTTAGGTTTGAAAAGCAATATTCATCAGTCCTGGTATTTAATAACATTTTAAATGGATTCTTTCAATCATTTCCTTTTGTGAAAAAGTGAACTCAATCACGATTAACATAGTAAAACTAACTTTGAAATAACATGACATTTTCAGAATACGAGAACCAAAACCAGGACGGCCGAAACTATATCCAGTGTGGTTACGGTGTCAGACCCCGAGAGAAAGTCTGTACTTTCAATTTGGATCTTCTGGGGCCCTGTATATGGAAGGAAGAGTACGGATATAATGACGGAGAGCCATGTGTGATTTTAAAATTAAATAAGGTAAGGTTTAAATTAATTAATTCCGGAAGTAAACAAGCGTTTAACCGGAATACTATTTATACCTATCATAAATAAGGTAAAATTCGCTTGAAATACTATAATCACTCACATTTCATATTTTGGCATATATCGGGCATCGTGTTTACATTGTATTTATTTATTTTTATCTTTCGTTTATTAATTAATTAAATTATTTTATGAAAAAGAAACAGAAAAATAGGCAGGCAACATACAGACTTGACATTTAATATGGAATATTTCAGTTTCGAAGGTATGCCTAGGTAGAAATGCATTCTTTTTTCAAAAAAACTCCGATCTCATATAAGATATGTGAATGGAGAAGTGTGTAGTCAGGTGTGTCGCTTCCAATTAACTGAATACCAGGATTGTTGCGCTGCTGCATTATGTAATATGCAGTGATTTAATTGGGTAGTGCTCCTTTGGGCAGGTCATAGCTTGGCTTTGGCAAAGCATGGTTCTGTCAAAAAAGTATCCATATGTCGGCAACTACTGCATAGAAGAATTTGAAATTTTGCATGCAAGTGGTCGGTTTTGCAAGGTGTAACATGAGCTATGCAGTGCTCTGCATATTTGTTAATCTGTGGCAGAATGGCGCGAAAAAGACAGACATTGCCAGACAGATAATTGCGCCAAACGAAACGGTCCGCACAGTTTTATAGAGTAATGCCCAGACTGATGTACCTACACAGAAGNTGGTTCCGTCCAAAAAGTATCAATATGTCGGCAACTACTGCATAGAAGAATTTGAAATTTTGCATGCAAGTGGTCGGGTTTGCAGTGTGTAAAATGAGCTATGCAGTGCTTTACAAATTTGTTAATCTGTGGCAGAATGGCGCGAAAAGGGCAGGCATTGTCAGACAGGTAATTGCGCCAAACGAAACGGTCCGCACAGTTTTACAGAGTAATGCCCAGACTGATGTACCTACACAGAGGCCACACCCAATGTATTGAAATCTTACCACCAGGGTACAGGACCCACTATATTTCGGGATATGCTGTTGCAACTAAACAAAAACCACTAAGTCCGTTCAGAATGAGGGGTAAATTACCACCAAAACGCATTTTTCAAGGCCCTTAGCGAACACCAAACTGGTTTTAGCAGGTTAGAATACCAGACGACCTCCGAGGAACCCACTCTAAACAGCAAAACATCGTTGTGTGTTGCTCTATTGAATTGGGGACCTTGACTGTTTCTGGGTCGAACACTGAAATCTCGCGGCTTTCTTTATTGAGGTCAGATTTCACCTGTACCGCTCAACTAGTCAAAACAGAGTTTACAGACATCCAGAAGAGGCCAACGACGAAGCGTGTGCCGCTTCTATAGTGACTAAGGTCATTAACAGCGTCAGTATTTGGAGTGGATACCGCATTGGTGCCAAAACACCAATGACAGTCATCGACGAAAACCTGAACCAGATCAAATAAAGAAATAATCTGGGAACCACTTGGCTATCATTTGATAGGGGACAACTTAGGAACAATTTTAGGTTGCACGGTGAGATTGCCGGTTCACACAGAGCACTTTTAATAGCAGTTTACTTACAGAACCAAGGGAATAAGCAGCTACCTTGGTCATCAAAATCGCCATATTTGAACCACATAGACAATATGTGGGTAGGCCATTACTCTCCGAATCAATGGCCTACATGTCCTACAACAAAACTGGACCAAATTGGGCAGATTTTGACCGATGCCTGGAATGTTATTCCAGATTGAACTTTAAAAACCTAATGCCTTGCCACTTGAGAGCGCTGGTAGCAGCCAGAAGAAGTCGGGCGTAACAGCGACCGTTACTGTGACTAGACACTGACATGAGGGTCCTTTGCGGAGCGTTTAACTCCTTACAGACAATAATTTGGAAAATATGGAGGTCCAAAATATCCCTTTTAATGGTTGTCGTATGACATAGAATAGGCAATGTGTTTTTGTTTGCTTCTCTGGCGAATTCCATTAATGAACTGATGTCACAATGACATCAAGGAGATAATTAAAAGTTATTAAAACACGATTTTAATCCTTATTATCATTTATCAGTCTGCAAAATAGGAAAAATGATTTGGAAAAAAATATTCCATATTAAATGTCAAGTCTGTAGAAAAAAGTTACACTGAAAAAATTTAAAAAAAAGTTCATTGTGATTGGAAAGTAATTTGCTTTTGCACTACATTGTACTTATGTCGTTGTCATCGTAAATACACTGTAAACACCCCCCATTAAACACAAATGTTTAACTTTTTTTCGATAATGCTTTGAGTTTATAGAGTCCCGCTTATTTGTATAAAGCCTTAGTCACAACTGGATGCACAGTGACCCCCCCTCTTCATCGGTGTTAAGGAATAAGCAAGTATTAAATTATAATGACCTCTTTTCTCATTTCAGATTTAGTTCCAGACAATTTAGAAGTAATAATAAGACAAAGTAGACTGTTCATCATGCTCGTCTCTGAGAAGTATTTTACACCGAAACACAAAGACATTTTAGCAGTGGCACAAGCTCAGGTAAACGCCGAAAAGTTGAAAATCATTGCAATCATCCTCCAGGATATTGACCGAGATAAACTTGAAGCAGATGAAACAAATAAACTGATCCTCAACTTTATAGACGGTACGTTTTGCAGACCTACTATACAACTTAGGTGGCCGGCAGAAGAGAACGAAGAAGAAAATGAAGCAGAACAAGATCTAGAAAAATTCCGGGAAAAACTTCGGCTGTGTATGCCCAATAAGGATATCTTAGATATAAACTGTGCGTGCCTGAAAAGGAGAAACCACGAGGCAAGGTACCATAGGTATGAAGATAGGGTGGAAATTCAAGGCGCAATTTAAACAAAAACAATGCCCAACAGGTTTGAAACGTTGGTGTTGAAATATGCTGAGCCACAGTGCTAAAGACAATATGCGTTTAACAAACTTATGAAACAAAATAAACCTCGTGAGCCCAAAGACTCCCGAGTCACAACTACTAGGAATTCTTATATCGTAAAAAAAAAGACTGTGCGTCATGGATCATATGTCATTAGTCCCAGTTTACCGAAGACACTATATTACTGATTTAAACCTTCAATGTTAGAAAAATGCAGTTAAATTCCTATTGTCATTTATGATTATCAGCTATCGTCTATCCTTATCACCATATGAGAGAAATATTTTGTGAGAAGTAAGTGAAATTATTTATCAAAGCAAATTTAGAAAAAAAAATGATTGGCTTGCTGCAATGCGTTTATTCCAGTGTAGTGTTTGTATTGCTTTTTTAAAATAAAATATGATGTAATAAAATGGTGAAACCAAATTTGTTATAAAGGATTTACTACTATTCTCTTTTACAGTCATTTATCATTTAACCTTCATACATCAATATCAAATTATAATAAGCAGTCAAACCACACTCGTACGGCATTTGAATTTCATTCGGAATATTCTGACTGCAATTTGAAATTCCCTCCCGATAAAGGCAGGAATTTTTCAATTTATTCATTCTGGCTGGTTCTACCTTGATTTCTGCTGGTTCCGAATAAGTGCGACGGGGCCCTTAAGTCGCGTACCAGTTCGAATATCCCTCGAATGTGATCAGAATGTTTTCAATGTTGTCGGAATGCCGTGAAAATATTAAGAATGCAGTCACATTGCTGTTAGAATACTATTCAAATGCCATTCGATAACTTTCCACTTGGAATGCGCTTCGAAAGTTTTTAACATTCGGGCCGACCACAAGAATGGGTAAAATATTTGAAATGCACTCAGAATTTTTAGAATGCTCTTTGAATATCCAGGAATGCACAAAGAATTGTCTTTCCGACGGCATTCTTGTTCATTCTGCCTCTAGTGTGACGGGGGTATTACTACGCCCGATCAAGCATAAACTGTTGGTCCCCCCCCCCCCCCCGTGTTTGTTCCACAGCTTCACCTCTGCCCCCTGTTGGGTGGCATTGCGAGTAAGGAACGCAAGGTGAGTATGGTCCCCCCCCCATGTCAACCCAACCCTTAGACCCATCTCAGCAAACAAAATGTGTATTTCTTCCATTGCTAAGATGAAGCTAAACGTCTGTTTATACAGGCTATATACAGTACATGTAAAGTTACGTGAAGCACAATAGTAATGGGTCATCGGGGTTACGTTCACAACAACAATAAGTTCTGTGTAGAGGGATGCAATGAGAAAGAGTGTCGATGTACCGCGGAAGATGGATATGATGGCGAAAGGTGCAAGGTGCCGGTAGAATGGTACCATCTCTAATTTCTCAGAATGGAAAAGTTTCTAAGCGTGACTATCATAGGTACAGTACCTGTACTGTGTTAGTTGATATTGTTTTGTATTGTTACCGGTAGATGTCTCTGTAAGTAAAGTACAGTTCGGTGTGCAAGTTTGAATCTCTTCCTGTAACGTTGCGTAATCTACTCTCTTATAGGTAAAACTGATTATGTATAATTTAATTTGGTTGGCGAACATGTACTAACCGAACTTGTATATAAAGACTTACTCAAAATAAATCGCTCTTTTCTCTGTTCTTTTCACTTTGTAAGAAACTTAAAGCTATCTAGTATGTTATTTGTGTTGTTATATTGCCTCGGTGTTTTATCATCATCTGTATTATCATTTGCTGGTTGGTGTATATATTCTGAATTTACCCGCTTTGCTGTGTGATTTTCGAACCGTCGATTCTAATCTGTATCGTTGCATGAAAATCTAGTCTTATTTTTAAAGTGATAATAAATCAGTTATTAAATGTAAATAAGTTTATTAAAACATGGCAACCAAAAGGTTGAAGTTATACATAAAATGGAGTGAGAATAAAATTTACAAATTGAAATAATGATATACAGGTATAATATAGGATATGCAAACAAAATTTAATGAGATAAAAAAGGGATAAATTAAAATAAATGAATAAAGTAAATTTTTGCACAGGCATCTCAAAATTAGTGTAAAAGAGGATGGAGTAATGATAATTAAATACAATAAAGGCCAAAATAATTTTTTTAAAAGTAAAAATTAGCCCACTAATGGTTTAACAAAGAGAAAGGAATAAAAGTGTTTTTAAAACGTTCAGTTCTAATTTTTGGTATGTTTAACTTTGACAGGCTATTTCTTAGTCTCTTGTGTGGATTGCAGGTTAAAAGGTAGTTCAGCTTGTCTGTGTCATTTTGTATTTTTGCAAAGAATGATTTGCAGAGTTCAACTCTGCGCTCTTTTAATGTAATAAGTTTTGCTTTGGCTAGAGCATCAACATAAGTTAATTCAGGGAAAATGATCCTATATCCCCTTGACTGGATGGATTCTATTATTTTACATTGTTCTCCAGTTAATCCGGGGTGCCATACAGGACAAGCATATTCAGTCACGGTCCGCATTAAACTCTGATATACATGAACGAGATCAGACGAGGATATGCATGTTTTTTTATAGATAATATCAACACGTTCAGACCATTTAAGATTGTTAGTGATAAAAACACCCAACAGTTTTAACTGGGATACTCCACTGACATGAGTTCCTCTAATATTAATTGATTGACATTTTGTCTGTGATTGTGTAAACTAGCTGTTTTAGTAGTCTACAGGTGTTATCAATGACGCCACACTGCAGACGTTTTAACAGAAATCAATAAAAACGGTTTTGTCACTGTAACGAACAAATTGATCAAAAAATACTTCTGTTGAATGAGGCACTGCTTTGAAGTTCCTGTTATTGCACTTCTTGGAAGTGGCAAAAATGCGCATGCGTTTTTTTTTTCCTGTTTTCAAAAATGAGGCAAGTATAACAACACCGTGTGCATTATTCTGTGTTAATTGACTAACTGCAGAAAGTACAGTCGTCTCAACATGGCTTCTATTTGTCAAAGCTTGGTTGTCCTCCTGTGTTTTGTGCAGTCAGGTAAATTACGTGTATTTGCGAACATTCATGCTACATGTACATAGACCAAATAGTTTTGCCTTTATATAGTACAAATACAGTAAAAAAAAATATAGGGGAGGGGGAGAGGTGCGACTGATATAAATTCTTTTTAAATTCAATTTAATATAATATAATGTAATTTAATTTAATTTTGTTTAATTTAATTTAATTTAATTTAATTTAATTTTATTTTATTTTATTGCACAACTAACCAGTCGTATATACACTCTTGCCCAAAATGGTTGGTACACGCAAATTTTGGGATGCATATCGCCCTGTTTCTTTCATTATTATTGATATTATCAAATTAATACTGTTTATATTGTTAAATATGTGATGCTGGAGGATTGGTAAAGTCAAGGAGAAACATCCAATGCAAATGTGAAAAAAGCGTTAATTTATTTAGGTTTTTTCTCATGTCCCCCAGAAGAGTACTTTTGACAATTAATATGATATTAGGGGAAATTGTCAAGAAACATCTTCAGAGTTCATTATTAATCTAAATAGCAAATACCGTTGCTGCAAATGGCACCCCAAACATGTACAGAACCACCTCCTCCAGCTATTGTTTCCTGGATATTTTCAGTTAACAGCCTCTCCCCAGGGAGCCTACGCACTCTCATAGCTGGGGGAGGTGGTTCTGTACATGTTTGGGGTGCCACACACAGCCGGCTTAATTGCAGACTATATCCGACAAAACAACATTCAGCTGATGCCACAGCCAGCAAGAAGCCCAGATGCAAACCCAATTGAGCACATGTGACGAACTTGGTCGTGCTATTCAGAGGAAAATCCTCCCCCTGCAAATCTAGATGAACTTCGAGATGCCCTTCAAGATGAATGGACCAGAATTCCTCTCCAAAGAGCTGCAATTCTAGTTCACAGTATGCCACGCCGTGTGGCGGCCATTATCCAAGCTCGGGATGGGCATACCCGCTATTTAGATTAATAATGAACTCTGAAGATGTTTCTTGACAATTTCCCCTAATTTCATATTAATTGTCAATCACAGTATAAATTTATGTTTAATTTTTTACTTGGTACTGTTATGTAAAAAAAGTACTCTTTTGGGGGGCATGAGAAAAAAAAAAACCTAAATAAATTAACGCTTTTTTCACATTTGCATTGGTTGTTTCTCCTTGACTTTACCAATCCTCCAGCTTCACATATTTAACAATATAAACAGTATTAATTTGGTAATATCAATAATAATGAAAGAAGCAGGGCGGTATACATCCCAAAATTTTCGTGTACCAACCATTTTGGGCAAGAGTTTAAAAGTAAAGGGTGCATGGAGAAGAGTTGGGTTTATTTAATCCCCTTTAAAAACTTATAAACTTGAGGAAGAACCTTGAGAGCGAGGGACTTGTTATATTTCTTTCAGTTTATTTATTTGTCAAAACTAGGAACAGCCATTCAATGCCTTATCTGCCAGTCATTTGGTCACGCCTTGGACCCTCTCTCACAAACCCTTTACCGGAATTACGACCGAC